GCTGGCATGTGGTGCTGGGGGATTGAACCGCGGTCCCTGTGCTTTGCTAAGCTTGTTCTAAGTAGGTGCTTTAGACCACTGAGCCATCTCAACAGCCCCTATTAATCGGTTTTGAAACTGTCTCATTGCTATTTGTTTCTCGATAAAATTAATAAAAAAGAAAAAAAATTATCTGTACAGTTGTTGGGAGCTTGTTCCTGCTTATAGGCTAGTGTGTGTGTTTGCTTGTTTATTTATTTATTTGTTATAGGGCCTCACTATGCAGCTTGGACTCGTAGTGATCCTTCCTCAGCCTCCCCAGCACAGGGATTATAGCCATGCATCACCACACCCAGTTTCTTTGGTCTGCATGCCGCTCTGGGGTTTCTGGGGTCAGCATGACATGCAGTACCCGGGATCAAACCCAGGTCCTTGTGCTTGTGCTTGCCCGGCAGGTGCTTAGACCACTGAGCTTCTCTCCGGCCCTTATAGGCTAGTTTTATGCACATTTTGACAGAATTGTTAAAAATGGAAAAATATTACTGAAATGTATGACTTAGAAATTTTAAGTTTCCCATAGTCTCACCTTTCTGAGATAGATTTGGTTTGTATTCATCCAGCATTTCTTCTAATGTATATTACAAATTACACTTTTTTTTTTTTTTTTTTTTGATGTATTGAGCATAGGGTCTCACTACACAGATCAGACTTGTAGTGATCCTTCTGTTTTCAGCCGCACAAACGCTGGGATTACAGGCGTGTGCCATCACACGCGGTCTCAGTTGCTGTCTCAGTGCACCCGAGGGGCGCCTCGGGGACGGGGCATGCTGGGGATTGAACCTGGTCCCTGCTAGTCTGCGGAGCTATCTGGCCGTTATCACAAATGATATTATACCTATATATTATTTTGCCACTTGTTCCAACAATAATCATTGATTGAATTTTTGAGAGTTTTAAAAAGTATTGTCTATGGTAATTTAGCACTCATTATTGACAGTAAGAACTCATTCACTAAGGAGGCAGAAAACAGGAGGATCACTAGGAGTCCGAGCTGCATAGTGAGACCCTGTGCACACACAGGTGTGTGCGCGCGCGCGCGTACACACACACAGGACTCATTGCTTGCCACGATGGCAGCCCGTATCCCAGCCCTTGTAACCAGGAGGCTGAGACAGGAAGATTTGTGAATTCAAGGCCAGCCTATAGACAATTTAGAGAAACTTTCTCAAAATGAAAAATTACAATAAATGTAAAAAGCTTGGAATATAGCTCAGCATCCTTGGTTTCAATACCACACACAAACACCACACTATAATAGATTTTATATTAAAATAATTCGTATGTCAAGCTCATGAATCTTCGAAGTCCTTAAAATGGCTCATTTTGGGGGGGGCAAAGTTCAATATCTGTCCATCTTTTAATTTACCTAGCACTTCTGTTTCCTAGTATACAGAATTCGAACTCAGAAGGATCTAAACAAGTTGAAAGTGGCTTGATTTTTTTTTTTTTAACATTTTTTATACTTGAGGCATCCTAATTACGACAATTCAGCTAATTTGGCAAAGCCACTCTTCACATTACATCTGGCAGCTTGTGTACATACTCTCTGGTACGGTGGTGGCTTCACTTGTCTCAGGTGGGCAGGTGGCAGTCAAGTGATAGGTGTGCTCTTAGAAGGCCTACAGATTCAACAAGTCGGGCTGGGGAGAGGGCTCAGTGGAATAAGCGCTTCCCTGGCAAGCGCAAGGGCCTGAGTTCAATCCCTGGTTCCGTCACACACACAAAAAAAAAAACAAACAGATTCAGCAAGTCACTGAAGGGCTATGCTTATTTCTATTCAGAACTTGGGATCCCTCAGCCTGCTAGCACAGATCCTTCATCCCTGTAGCACAGACTTTCTGGCTTCCACCATTGACCTTTGGGCCTTTCCAGTACAGATCCTTGAAGCAGGCCTGCATGTGACATTGTTGTGGGCTCTAGGCCTCCAATTGGGCTGTGAGAGGCATTGTTATGGGCTCTGGGATTTCCTGCACTCTCGTATGTGATTTCTTGGGTGACTATAAAATAATCTCATAAAATGTGTGCTGAAATCAGGTGTGGTGGTACATGCCTGTAATCCCAGCACTGGGGAGGTGGAGACAGGACAATCACTGATTCTAAGCTATGTATTGAGAACCAATACCAAATAAATAAATAAATGAAAGATTAAAAAAAAGAAGAAGAAGAACTTGGCATTATTAGGAAAGTCATCAGGCCCTTCTAAAAGAAAGTATCCTAATCTCTGATTGGAAATCTCTCAGGTAGATATTTTTCAAGCAATGAAACTAATTTAAAAATACTGACTTTGTCTATTTTTAAAAGTAATATTACACAAATTAAATAAAATTAGTTCCATGGTATTCTGCTTTGTGGACTAGGGTGACATGTGACATATAAATAAAGTCTCCATTTCTCTCTAATCTAGTGGCAGCTCTTCAGAGAAATTATACTCTAAGGTCAGTGGTCTCAACAAAGTACACCTTCTGTTGAAATGAAAATAATCAATCTCTATTTTCTCTACCCAAATTGGAAAGATTGAATAAAATAACATTTTAAAATATCTTAACTGTGACTGGGCAAAATCTCTCTGGTTCTACGTTTAGGGATTGATTATCTTATGTTAGCCCATTTTCTTGTACTAACACAGTTCTTTGCTAGTTGAAGAGCACATTCGTTACAGTTTTACACACTTGCTTTTCTGTTTGGTGGCACCAGATGCAAGTTTCCTATGGATTGTAGGCATGGCAGTCTCAGGAACAGAAAATAGGCCTTTTCTGTAGCCTGTATTATAAAGTGGCATTGTATATTGTCTTTAATAAGAATGGCAGGGTTGGAAAAGGTTGACCATCAGTATTATAATATGAAGGGGAGAGATATGTGACAGGTTGCCATCGGAAATGTGAAGACTAATTTCAGGACCTAGTCACATATTCATAGGATATGTTCCCTGCCCCGCCCCCTGAGAAAAAGGTGATTCAAAATAATCTTAAACATTAGATTTCCTTTGAAAACACAACTGAAGGATCATAAATACAACCATCTCATTCCTCTTTCCTTCCTTGAATAGTGTGGAAAACCCAAAGTGACTATTACCCCTCGTGTTTTTAGATGTTTCTGCTAATTGTTTAGAAGAACAAAATTGTTTCTCATTTGTTCTTTTTGTTCGTGGTAGCTCTTCAAAGTGTTTGTTTAAATGGTCAAATTACTCTTTTGGTTTTTTAACAGTCTCGTTGCCTGAGCTGAGAACTCATTGCTATACTTCCCTGCAGTATGTTTTGTCTGTTAAATTAGCAAATTAAAACAACAGCAAAAGCCCCACCATAACCTGTATGTAGGTTTTTAGCAGTAAGGAACTGCTGGTGACAGATGCTTAGCCATTGCTATGTGAACAACTTTGTTGTAATAAACATAAACAAGAGTTGCAGTAGGGGAGCTAACAGAACTGATTGATCAGATCTTAAGGAAATCGTTACACCTAGGCAGCAGGTCTGTTCTGGGCATCAGGAACTTTGGGGTGTAATGACTGCAGACATTCCAAGGTTGCTGCTGCTCCCTAATTCCAGATTTTATAGTCAAGTGTCGTTTTTACAGTGTCCTTCTGTTGATGTCTTCTGTGTTACCTATGTTTTAAATAATTTGTTCTTTTTAGGAGATTTAGTCCTCTACCTAGGAATGTAGGGATTTATAATAAACTGATTTAGTTTTCAGTATGGTGTTGAGCCTGTACTGGCAAGCATAAAAATGACTTTCACATGTATTTTATAGTGTATCAACTTAGCCACATCATCTCCTTGTTTGTAAGCCATGTGAAAAACTCCAGTACTATATAAAAATTCATTGCTTGAGATCCAACTTCACAAATACAGTTTTCTTCCTGCTTTTAAATTGAAGATGGAGGGGCTGGCCATATAACTCAGCAGATTAAGGTGCCTGCAAGCAGACATAGGGGCTGGGGGTTCAATCCCCAGGTATGGTTGTGCACACCTGTAATCCCAGCTCTTGGGAGGCTGTAAACAGGCAGATCACCATGAGTCTGAGTCTGATTTAGTAGTGAGACCCTGAACACCCTTTAGACCCTTCCCTAAAATACAAAAAAGAAAAAAAAAATCATGTATGTATGTTTGTATGTATGTATATTTACTTATTTGGTACAGGGTCTTGCTATGTAGCTTGGACTCATAGTGATCCTACTGTCTCAGCCTCCCTAGCACTGGGATTGCAGGCATGTGCCACCATGCCCACTTTCGGTGACCAGCATGGCATGCCCAGGATTCTAGGGCAAGCACAGCATGTGGTACTGGGGATGGAACCCGGTCCTTGAGCTTGCCAGGCAGGCGCTTCAATTGCCGAGCTATCTCCCCAGCCCTCCCTCAAACTATTTAAACAACATTTTTCGTCTTACTGTTAGACATAGGCTGAAATTTATTCGTAAACATCCAAACCATTCCTCTAAAAACTAACAGATGTTTAGTCTTTCTCAGTTAAGTCAAAGATGATTGTTAAGTGTGGCCTTAACTAAGTTCCTTTCCTCTTCCTTGAACCACATAGTGGAAGTAGATTTACTTGCATCCTTTTGGGTTTTTGATTGTATCCTCTTGAGTATTTGACGAAAGCACACACCCATACTCCTCCACCCTCCCTGGAACTGGTTCAAGATTTGGAGAGAAGGGTTTGTTTGGGGGCGTTTCTCATCTTATCTGAGGGTGAGCAGATGCTAGGGTTGAATTTATTTTGACCCTGCTATTTAAATTTGGAACTGAAGCAAGAGTTTAAAGTACAACACAAGAGAGTCTACTGAACTTTAGACATGAGAGACCCAGGGGGTAAGGTATGTACCTGCATTCTGAGAAGTTCTACCTAGAGGTTGGGGAGGAGGTGTGACTATGTATACAGACAGCTGCAAGCTAATAACTGCTACTTAAAATGCTTAAAACTCTGTAGAGATATGCGGCACTTAAGAGTGTATGTTTATGTACTTAATTTCAGGAGCATTGCCTCTAATATCTAAATTTTTTTAATTGATGGCAGAATAAGTAAATTTAGAATTTTTTATTTGAAAGTCTTTTGGAAGAGCTTAGGAGTATGAGTATTTGCAAGGAAAAATGCATCATCTATGGTTAATCTTAAAGGAAATAACAAAAAAAAAATAGATATTTTAAGCATGCTACAATTTTGTCTTCTAAAGCATCAAAGAAAGAGAGCTACAAGTGGCTACCAGAAAGGTTACCCAGCTTCTCCTCAGAGATGAAGAGCAATTCTCTTTTCATTGATCGTTACGTATCTTTACCTGGTAATTTTGAGCACAGGGCCTTGGGTAGATAGTAGGTTGGACTGACTGCTTTCTTGACTGATCTTTTCCAGAGCCTGGCCCAGCTAGAGAACTTGTGCAAACAGCTGTATGAGACAACAGATACAACCACTCGACTGCAGGCAGAGAAAGCCCTGGTGGAATTCACCAACAGCCCCGACTGCCTCAGCAAGTGCCAGCTGCTCCTCGAGAGAGGAAGTGTACGTAAGACTTGCCCCATTCTGGAGGATGGCTAGGCTTGGAGAAAGTGTTCTGGTTCTGAGCTTAGGTCTGGGTTGGGCTCTGCTTTTTGATTTGTTTAGGTGCCCCCTGCCTTCTCCATTTCACTTTTGAAAAGCAGCACCCCCTGGCAAGTTGGTAAGAAAGCCCATGAGGCCTTATCTGGAATTTCCATCCTGTTATTTTTCATCTTCCATCAGATTTCTGGCATTCATTTTCTGTTTCTGTATGTAAGTGGTATTTCCTGACCTTTATTACAAAAAAAAGGGTCATCTGAGTGACTTTCCTACCCAAAGTCCTTGTCACATATAAATTCCTGTGTCTTCTGTGTTTTTTTCTCTACCACGGCTGATACTTATTGCCTTACAAGTCTAAGGAAAAATTACCTTGGCAATGAAAATTGCAGGAAATGTAAGTTTTAGAATTAAAACCTCTTACAGCTTAAATAATTTTGTAGTAATCACTGTAATACTCCAAATGAGATGTAATTTCACAAACTTACTATTTTTGTTGAGATCTTTGGTCACAGTGAGATCATCCAGGTACCCTGAAAGGTTATCAAGAATAAGAAACCCAGCTAGACTTTAACAGGTACAACAAGTCTTCTTCTGACAAAATAGCAATAAGTGCAGTCTTTTGGTTTGTCTTAATGTGAAAAATGACTTCCTAAGCATCCCTACCTGTTGTATTACTCCATTTCACAGGTGAAAAGGAAGAAACCAAGAAAAGTGAAAGTACTGTATTAGCTCTACTTACTATTATTGTGTTAAAGGTGAAAATACAAATAAGAGTGTACTGTTGTATTCTGTACAACAGTATATTCCCCAAAAAATGGTTTATAAATGCTACATGCCAAAAAATATCCTCTAGAGTGGAAGAAAGGGGAGGGCAGATTATCTGTTAGGCAGGTAGAATTCTAGATGACTTTATTTTTTAGTTTTTGTTAGTATTGTAGCTGTTTTCTCTATACAATAAGTAGAAAAAGTTTTAGCTGGTTAAAGTTATGCTTCAGTAGGTGAGAGATCTCTTTCTAGTATCTAAATGTTAAAAGTCACATTCAGAAGTTGAGTAGTGAGTGGCCTCTTCTAAGTTTTACACGTATAATATTTTATGCATTTAAGTCACTTGGTCTTATGAAGCTGTCATAGATTCCTCAGAGTTATATCTGAATGATAGCTGTGCTGATAAAAAAAAGATCTAATTTGTAGACTGTGCAGCGTAATGTGGTAGTATTTCATTTTTCTTTCTAATACCATACTACAGGAATATTTTTAAATGAAGGGGTTTTTTTAAGAGCACTATAATATCTCTTAAGTACCAAACCTCGTGACTGACTTACCCAGTACAATTCTTTTCCCCTCTCTTCACAGTCATCTTACTCCCAGTTACTGGCAGCTACATGCCTTACCAAGCTTGTATCACGCACAAACAACCCCTTACCATTGGAGCAACGAATAGATATTCGTAAGTAGAGGATTTTCTGGAGTTTTTTGTTGTTGTTGTTGTTGAGAATTTTCTGTTTTATCTTGAAGAACTTAGTTTATTTAATTATGTACTAGTAAAAATTTAAATATATGTGCATTTTTTATAATCTATATTGCTAAGATGCGAAATAGTCTTTTTTTTTTCTGGAATTCAAGGCTTGTGAGACTGAAGAAGCCAGATACAGTTACATCTAGATAGAGCCTAAGCCATCCATTTCGTTGTTAGATTTCTCTCATTTAGATTTTATTGTCACTAATAACTCAGGAAAACTTTAAGGATTTTTAAATCTACATGGACCATGTTATTTAGTCATATAGGGATAAAATCAAGACTGCTAAGCTTCAAATCTTTATGATAGTATGAAATTTTGAATTTGAAAGCCTACCAGTAGATCTTAAATTTAAGGTCCCATTAGTAGTTTTTGAATAATAAAGAGGTAAGAGTAAACACAAGTCGTACAGCATTACACAAATCTTTGTCTGGCAGAACTTTCTGTAGTAAGGATTGTTTTTGTTCCATAGGGAACTACGTGCTCAACTACCTTGCCACACGGCCAAAGTTGGCTACCTTTGTGACACAAGCGCTTATTCAGTTATATGCCAGAATCACAAAACTGGGCTGGTTTGACTGTCAGAAGGATGACTATGTCTTCAGAAATGCAATCACAGACGTCACAAGGTTTTTACAGGTACAATGTAGATATTTGATATATTTGGAATGGGAGAAGCAGCAAATACATAATACTAGTCGACTTTTTTAAAAAATTGCACAAATCGCTTCTCAGCCTTTTGGCTAAGACCAAATGTAAAAAAATTTAACAAAATGAAATTTTTGGCATAGTCTTTTCTGTGAGAAAAAAAATCTCTTCTTTTTTTATCATTAATACGTCTTGTCAGTGTTTGCATCTGTTTGTTTGTTACCTTCAGTATTGGGGGCGCTGAACTCAGGGAATGCTGAGTTATGTCCCCAGCCCTTTTATTTATCTATGTTTATTTTGAGATGGAGTCTTGCTAAATTTCTCAGTCTGTTTCCATTTTCTAGCTGTTAAAATGCTTCAGTAATATCCCAGGAGATGTATCTTGTCATACTTTGATTAAGTGTGTTTTCAGGATAAATTCCTGTGCTTGGAATTATTCAGTCAAAAAGACATTTCAGGCATTCCTCTCAAAAATGTTATACCTAATTTTACACTTCTGCCAAAAGTTTGTAAGAATACCTACTTATACCTGACACCTGTTAAGTTAAACATTTTTATTTTTCCAGCTCAGTAAGTAAAAACAACTGGTATGTGTACTTGGGTTATGAATGCAACTGGACAAACTTTCTTGTCTTACTCCTTATATTTGTTTTTCTGTGAACTCTATATTTTCTGTACATTTTTGTCCATCAGTCCTTTGCCATTTTTTTATTGTTACACACATTCTCTTTGTAAGTTGTGGCACTCATCTGTCAGTTACCTTCCAAATGTGTTTTGAAGTTTCTTTTCAGATTGTATACTGTGATTCTTATGGGAACATTTAATTTTCACATTTTGGTGAAGTCAGATTTATCAGTCTTCTTATGGAAATTAGCTTTTATTTCCTGCAAGGCAACATGTTTATAATTTCTTACTGTCCAGGGTAGGCAGTTTTATTAAGGACACAGGAAGTGGTCATTCATATGAGTACACCCCGAGTGCTGACATGAAGCATACATGCCAACTCTTTCTGCTTTACATTTTTTAACCAGGACAGTGTTGAATATTGCATCATTGGCGTCACAATTTTATCTCAGCTAACCAATGAAATTAATCAAGTAAGTGCTACAGCCTTCCTCATTGAAGTAAGTGACATATTTTTTCTTAGTCTTGGTGTTTTCTGCTCTATGTGGGATGATCTTTTTTGGCAGCTGTGTGCTTTTGCGGTAAGTGATTAATGCCCTTTTGAAACAAGATGCTTACATTGGGTTTTCCTCTATAAGTGCAAGCTGCCTTGCTCTTCTTGTCCTGATCTTCTGCTTCCAGAATATTTCACTCTCCCATTTCAGGTTTCCTTACTAGTGTTAATGTTCATTTTAAAGATGAGAGTGATGATTCTAAGTCAGAACCATAATGAGGTGCCTGCTTAGGCAAGCACAGGGACCGGGCTTTGATTCCCTGACCCCACATGCCATGCCGGCCCTGCCCCCAGGGCGCACTGAGACTGCGACTGAGACTGGGCATGGTGATGTGCACCTGTAATTCCAGCACTTGGGCGGCTGAAAACAGGAGGATCACCACGAGTCTTATCTGTGTAGTGAGACCCTGTAGACCCTGTACTAAATACATTAAAAAAATAATAATATAATAATAATGTGATATTATCTTGCTGATAAAAGAGAATGCTTCTAAAACAGGGATCATAAAATTGGAAATACCTTCATTTGTGAGCCCCTTCTTCTGTATACATTAATATAAAATCAGTTCCCATGTGCTCTACTGCTAAAAGGCTTTACTGATAATCTGTCTTTTAGAATGCACAAAATATTTTCTGCTCATTACTCATTAGTGTTTTCTTGAGATGTTGGTATGGAACCCAGGACCTTACTTACACTGAGCTGAGCTCATTTCACCATTGAGCTACATCCTAGCCCTTCAGTTAATTTTTAAAATTGTTGATATTACAGAACGCTACAGAAGAAATACCAGTGCCTTTTTTTTTCTTTTGCTCTGCCTATTTTTGTCAGTTACTTTTGTAGCCAGCTAAAATTTTGTAGTTGAATAGACCACTATTGATATTATTTGTAACATCTGATCCTTAAGCTGTCAGCATATTAAATGCATTAGCACTACTGTTGCTATTGCTCATTATTACACAAAAATTTTCATTAACCCTGAGAAGTTTTAACTGCAAATTGGTACTCTTTTAAAGCACTAGCTTATAGCTTGTTAAAATCTAGAGTCAGTAATGTGTTCACCGTCCTATGCAGTCCTCAATGTGACCAGGAATTATCAAAGTAATAGCTTATATTTTGTGAGTAGTTACAGTATACCAGCCATTCTTACAAGTATTTTATTTATATTTATTAATTTTATTCTCATAACAGTCTGGTGAGGTAGATACTGTGGTTAACCTATTTTCTGCATGAGAAAACTGAGGCACATAAAGGTTAACCAGCCTATAATTTCGTGGTTGTAAGCAGTAGTGCCTGGATTTGAACCCAGAAAGACATCCTAGAGCCTGTGCACCTAACAGCTTTTTCTAACCACTATCACTTTTTTTTTAAAGAGCTCAGACAGGGCCCATAATTTGGCCCCAGAGTGAGGGTGGCTTTTATTTCCTCTCTCAGGGAAGGAAGAGGGGTGCTATCCCAGGCTCCTCAACCTAAGGGAGAGGTGAGTGACCCCAGAGACGATTGTTCAGAAGAGCATCCGGGTCCACTTGCTGGCACTTGATTGTGGGGTACAGGCAGGAGAGTGTTCCTGGGGTAGCAGCTCCACATTAAAGAGGCACAAGGAGGTTTGTGCTGGTGTTCACAGGAACGAGCAGGTGCCCTGAGTGAGGGGCAGGTGGCCAACCCCACATCCAACACAAAGGCTGGCTGGTGTGGTCCTCCTGAGAAGGGCCACGAGCCCAGAAGTGCCCTCCATCCGATAGCTGGTCCCTTAAATGTCCATCTCAAACTGCGACTCTTCACTGCCTGCTGGCTTGTCTTCTGGACTGCTGCGCAGGTGGCTGTGGCAGGTTTCTGCGGAGGACTCATCACTGGTAGGGCTGGTGACCCCAGGGATAGTGGGCAGGTCCCTTGGAGGCATTTTGGCCACAGGGGAGTTCCGGCACTCCATCAGGAATTTCCGGTCATAAATGATCCTGGTCCCTCCTGGGGTGGTGCTGAAGAGCGTGCCGCCGGGCATCGTGCTGTAGTCCCCGGGCTGCAGCTGCACACCGTAGCCCGGCTCGGGGTCTGACTGCAGCTGCTGCCCCCAGACATGTTTGGACGCCCGCTGCCCGCGCCTCCCGCTACCACTATCACTTTTGCAATAGGCAGGCATACATTAACAAAGTACAGAATGTACAGACTTAATGATCTCTCCCTTCAAGTATGCCCCTGCAGAAGCACACAAACATTGGCATAAAAACCACGCGAGTGATGAAAATGCATCTAACAGTTAATGTGTGTAACTCTGTATTGTGATCAGTACAACAGATTACATATGTACATGATATTATATAATCCAGCAATTCTTCAGTTATCTAAGGCATACATAACTGACTAAAGCTAGAACTGCTTGAACCGCTACCTGTAATTTTCTGTCATTTTTTTTATGCACAGATTCAAATGACACTTATTTATATTTGTATTTAGGAATTAAGCCGAGGAAGAGTTGGTCAGAATCCTCATTGTGTTATTCTTCACTATGGCAAAATAAAATGAGCTCCCTCTGGATTCAGTTGATCAGTAAATAGAAAAGATTTGCATTTTAAAAAAAGTGGATAAACTAAAAATAGCCTGGAAAACCTTGCAAGTTTTTATTATACTCATTTTGTGCCTATTAGGTATTATAAGCCAAGACATACAAAAGAAGTAAAAAGTTTAATCTTTACAGAAACACTTGTAACTTAGCTGAAAAGACAGGAACAGAGGAATAAGTGAGAGACCATACAGCTATTTAAATTAACTTCTCAATTTATGATGTGTAGGCCATATATTAAATTAGAGAAGTAAGAAAACTAGATAGAGTAGGAAGCTATTATTATAAGTTTATGCCTGTTAGAAGCTGTTTTGGAAATTTTGCAATAACTTCTATCCTGATTGGTTTGTTTACCAGAATTTAAGCCTTGCTACTGTTCTTGAGACTAAACCACAATATGATACAGTAATTATTAGCAGTGTGTGCCAGCTTTCTAAGTTTTTTCTTCGTAAGCACAAGAGAAATGAGATCCTAGTTAGCTACTAGCTGCTTACTGTTTTCTGCATCTTCTTGCTAAATAATGACTTAAAAATAATTTAAAATTATATTTGTCTTTGTGTTTCTTCTATTGGAAATATTTCTGGTTCATCTGACGTCTCCATGAAGATTATTAATGTAAATTACTTATTTTGCAGTTAATTCCAAAACTTGTATTGGTCTCTTCTTTTTCTCCACAGGCAGACACCACTCATCCCCTAACCAAGCACAGAAAAATAGCCTCTTCTTTCCGAGATTCATCACTATTTGATATCTTCACACTTTCCTGCAATTTACTAAAACAGGTATGAACACAGGGTGGGCCATGCTTCCTAATTTATTTCTAAAAGGTGAAACAAGAATGAGAATCTGTTAGAGGTCAGCTGCTCACAGTCTGTGACAGGTATGCATCTCGTCATTTCCCACAAACATCTCAAGGTATCAAGAACTAGCCAAATTGACCACTGAAATTAGAGAGAGCAAGAAGTGAACACTGATCCCATGCTGCTACCTGAAAGGACTCTAGTTTACCACAGAATTAAAAATTTCACTGTTTGTTTTTTTATAACCATATAAAATCTAAAAGCCTGTTAGCTTTATGGTGTTTGGATTCTTAGTGCTTCCAAAGCAGGTTTAGACTACATTGTTATACAACTAGGTTGACTTTTCTGCCTCCTGCTGAGTTAAAGGCAATAGACAAACAAGCAACATCTGTAAGGAACAGTAGATTTTGAATTTTTAACATCCAATTAGATTTAATAACCGTAAGGGCTAGGCAGCAGCACATAAGGAAATTACCTGTTTTAAAGCAGAGAGTTGGCTTCCAATTCACTTATTGGTAGAATTGAAATAAGAAAGATATGTTAACCTAAGAGTCCTGCATGTTTATAACACTGTTTGGCTGCTTTGTCCCTGTGGAAAGCTAGATGGGATTAGCCTCTGGCTTTTTGTTCATTTTTGTGTTTTTGTTCTCATTTTCGGTATTTCTCAAGTTTAGTTTTAGAAGCAAATTAGGTTTCTTTCTGTTGTCCCATTAATTATACTCCTTTGTTTTTTTTTATTTGATTTGATTTTTTTTTTTATTTTATTTATTTATTTTTTTTGCAGAACCGGGGATTGAACTTGGCCCTTGCGCTTGCCAGGCAAGCACTTATTCTATCTAGCTATCTCCCCGGATCCGATACTCCTTTCTTAATTGCTCAGTTTTACCTCCAAATTCCCAAGCAATTCTCAGGTTGGGCAAGCTGCCATGGAAAGCTGTTGTGCCTCCTGGAGGGCAAAGACCTTTGGGAAAACTGAGGCTTGAGTTCTCACTGATCTGTCAGAAACAAATAGTTAGCCAGCCTGTCACTGAGGCACAGTCAGTGTAACCTTGCAGTCTATTGTGATAGTAGTGTATGCAGACAGGCATGCTGCAGGTGAATAAATACAGTTGTGTGGTGAAATTATTTAAATTTTGGTGCTAGTTAAAATGGTGGTGCAAGGGGCCGGAGGGATAGCTTAGCAGCATAAGCGCCTGCCTGGCAAGTACAAGGTCCCGAGTTCAATCTCTGGTACAGGGGTGGAGGGTGAGTGTGAAATGGTGATGCTAAAAAGGGAAAGGAGGCTGGGCATAATGGCGCATGCCTGGAACCTCAGCACTCAGGAGGCTGAGGCAACAATGTTGCTGTGAGTTGAAGGCTAGCCTGCACTGTATAGTGAAAGCCTATCTCAAAAAGACAATAAATGAATGAATGAGAGCAGTGCAGAGTATAAAGCTTCCACAGAACTGCTTCCAGAGTTTTCACTCTACCCTGTCTAGAATTATAAGGACCTCCCTTGCAAAACTCATAGCCTATATTGCCTCTCTCATCCCTCTGGCCACTGTATGTATAGCATGTAAAGAATAAGTGTTATAGGGGGAATTTCTTTGAAGTACCAACTTCATGTTTTATAGTAAGCATATGCTAATCATGCAAAAGACTAGATATTTCCATAGCATAGGTACTTTCATAATATTAAGGTGATAGAAGTACATCTTTAGGGGGAGAAAAACAATCATTTTACTGTGGAGAAGTACAGCTTTCCTTTTTTGGCTGAACAGTCTCCTCATAAATCTAAGAGCAAGGGGCTGGTGAGATGGCTCAGTGGTCTAAAGCACCTACTTAGAACAAGCTAAGCTAAGCAAAGCACAGGGACCGCGGTTCAATCCCCCAGCACCACATGCCAGCCAGCCCCGCCCCCTGGTGGGCTGAGCTGGCCACACACACAAAAAAATATAAATAAATTTTAAAAAAATTAAAAAATAAATAAATCTAAGAGCAAGCGAACAATTGGTTGGGGCTCACGGTGGCAATTTTTCTAGGCTTCCGGAAAGAACCTGAACTTGAATGATGAAAGTCAGCACGGCTTGCTCATGCAGCTGCTCAAACTTACCCACAACTGCCTGAACTTTGATTTCATTGGCACCTCTACTGATGAGTCCTCAGATGACCTCTGTACAGTACAGATCCCCACCAGCTGGAGATCAGGTAACAGAATCCATACTACCTGAACCCATGTGTTGTGTAGCTCCATGACAGATCAATGGTATAATCCAGAAAACACCTGTGATCTTGTACTTTCAGAGAAAACCTAAAATTTTGATGTCTGTTTTCATAATGCAGAAAGGTTATTGAAGGAATTGCAGATTCCCCAGCATCACTGAATAGTATATTGTATTTCTTGTCTGAATCACCTGGAAACATCTGTTACCTCTTTATTTAGGGTAATATCTGTCCTTTAAGAACAATATCCAAGGTTCCACCAAAGAGCTCAGTGGATTAAAACGCCTGCTGTGCTATCCTCGTCCCCGGGGCTTGCTGAGACGGCAATTGAGACTGGGCGTGGTGGCGTACACCTGTAATCCCAGCTGTGGGGAGCCTGTAAAGAGAAGGATCACTACAAGTCCGATCTAGTAGTGAGACCCTGAACACCCTGTAGATGCCTCCCTAAGACACACACACACAATCCAACAAAACATGAACTTTGGTTTGTTTTTATGTTCCTAAGAATAGAAATTTTAAATTCTTGCTATGGACAGGCATGTTCAGATTGCTTAGTTTCCTAAGTATTAAAAGAATGGCTCTGTTTAAAAAAATATAGATAGATAGATAGATAGATAGATAGATAGATAGATAGATAGATCGATCGATCTTAGGGAAACAGAAAGGCCCTACTAGCGTAACACTTTCTAGAGAGATAGATCTTCTAGAAGTCAAATAAGCGGAAAGATAGTGCCAGAAGAATGCAGGTACCACTGTACAGATACAGTAATGTGTTTTGTCTCCCCCTCCCCCCCACCCCCAGCATTCTTAGATTCTTCAACTCTGCAGCTGTTTTTCGACCTGTATCATTCCATCCCTCCTTCATTTTCACCTCTGGTGAGTCAGAATCAATTTCCTTTTTTTCTTTTCTTTTCTTTTCTTTTTTTTTTTTTAACAGAACCGGGGATTGAACTCAGGTCCTTGCGCTTGCCAGGGAAGTGCTTATTTCACTGAGCCATCTCCCCGGCCTCCCAGAATCAATTTCTAAAGTAAACTATTTCTAGTAATAATGGGGAATGGACATTATATTTATTTTGTTCTATAAAAATTACAGAGGTAAACCATAGAAATACTAAGATTAGACATCTAGCCTTCTAAGATTAAGTGATAGCCTAAAGGTTCAGGAATAAAGTCTTGCTCAGCAGCACAGTGCCTGCCTGGCAAGTGCAAGGTCCTGAGTTTGATTCCCAGTACCACAAAATGACAGAGAGAGAAAGAGACAAAGAGACAGGAAGAAGTCTTTGTTATTTTTGAATTAGACTAAGGTGGGCATGGTTCCACACACCTGTAATCCTAGCACATGGAAATCTGAGAAAGGAGGATTGCTTTTGAATTCAAGACCAACTTGGGCTACTTCAGAACACCAAAAAAAAAAAAAAGTCTCGTTAGCCAGTTAGTTGCTGTAGTAGATGGTCAAGTTCTTTTTGTCCCATCTTGAATCTAACTGTAATGTATCTCACACTGATTGCCACAGCCTAGAGTTTGACAATTTTAATACTGTTGAAGTGCTGGCCAGATAACTCAGTGGACTAAAGCTCCTGCTTAGGCACAGCAACCAGGGTTCAGTCCTCAGCATGCTGTGCTGGCCCCACGCCCAGGGTGTACTGAGACTGCTACTAAGACTGGGCATGGTGGCATGTGCCTATAATCCTAGTGCTTTGGAAGGCCAAAAACAGGATCACTGTGAGTTGGATCTGTGTAGTAAGACCCTATAGACCCTGTACTAAATACATTTTTTAAAACTGCTATTGAAAAACTCTTCAGGCAAATGTTACATGGTGATAAATGGAAGTGGTAGTGAAAAGGCTAATTTTGCTGCTTACCTTGAAAGCTGTTAAGAATTATTTTTCTTTTTTGGTGTTTTGTTTTTTTGAGTTGGGACTTACTACATAGTTCAGGTTGGCCTTGAACTTAACTGTGTAGCACAGACCTTTATCTTGAAGCAGTTTGCCTCCCTCAACCTCCCAAGATTATAGGGAAATTACAGATTATTAATCTCTACTTAGATTACACCATCATGCTTAGATGTATTTCTCCTTTAAAACAGTAATTGGCTTCAATCTCATCATCATTCATATTCTAAAAGTCTGATCCACTATTTAAGTTCTTAGGTTAAAATACTGTTGTATCCAAACTATAGAAAGAAAATACAGTGAGGTAGTGGATGTTTTCCAAAATGTTTCTGCAGTGGACTACTTTTCTTTTCATGTAGCATTTTTCCCAATTAATACAGACTTTCCCTTGAGCAGGAAAGAACTGGTTGGCACAGGGAGGGCAAAATAGAGGGGCTCCCACAAGGAGTGGTGATATATAAGTCTGGCGCTACCAGAGTAGCATCTTTGGGGCAGAAGGAAATGCTGAAGGAAAAGCCAAGGCCCAGGGAAGGGAGAAACAGCAAAAGCTGTGACCATCAAAAGAAACTGCCAACCCCGCCCTTCCTTCGGGACTTGCGCCTCCTGCTGGCCCTTCCCAACAGCCTAAGCCAGCCTGGAGCCCGAGGGCAAGGGGCTAAGCTGTTGACAGCAGTCAGCCTTCAAGGAACAGAGCAGGGTAGAAAACGAGAGAAAATGAATTGATGGCAGAGGGACAGAATTCAAACATCTAACAGTGAGTAAATCTAAAACGTTATTTATAAGTTGCTTGATATTTTCAAGCCTTACATATATACGCAAGACTTAAAGAACCCATTGGAATGATCAAAGAATAATGTCCAAGGGAACTTTCCAAATGGAATATAGGGTTGGGGAGACAGCTCAGCAGCATAAGCACCTGCCTAGTAAGTGCAAGGTCCTGAGTTTGATTCCCTAGTATCTCAGAGAGAGAGAGAGAGAGAGAGAGAGAGAGAGAGAGAGAGAGAGATCAAATGAAATCATAGGCAATTAGAACAACCAATTTAGATCTGATGCTGTTTTCCTTTAAAAAGCTGCTTCAGAGACTGTACCCTAAAGAGTATGATAGGCAGGTAGAAGGTAGAGTGAAAATAGCTGCACTGTCTTAACCAGTGTGCTTGTGTGTGCCTTTGCTCTCAGGTATTATCCTGCTTAGTACAGATTGCCTCAGTTAGAAGATCCCTGTTTAACAATGCCGAGAGAGCCAAGTTTCTCTCTCATCTTGTCGATGGTGTTAAAAGAATACTGGAAAATCCACAGGTAAGTTTTTGAGAATTTGTGTATGTATAGGATTATATATGTATAAAACAGCTTTAGGAGATAGAAAGAAATTCATACAGAGATCAAACAGTGTGGTCTTGGGGCTGGGAAGATGGCTCAGTAGAATAAGCGCTTGAATGGCAAACGTAAGGATCTGAGTTCAATCCCCGGTTCCGCCAAAAAAAAAAAAAAAACAGTGTGGTCTTGCTTTCAGAAAAATTATGTGAATCTATGTGTAGGAAAATTCTGAGAGTTTCCTTGCCCCTGGAGGAGATTGTATCCTCTGCTTCAAAAGGATAAGAGCCATGCAAGGGGATCACTTCAGTACAGAGGAGGAAGGATGGAGCTGGTCATCTTTCAGCAAAAAGTTAAAAATCTAAAGCTTGGTCTTTGTATGTTTACATTTTTAAAATGTATATCCCTAAGATACACATTTTAGATAGGGAGATATTTCTTTCAGGTATTCATTCCTTAACTTGATACCCCTTTTTTGTCTTTCTGAGCTAATGCCTATTTTTCAAACTATTATGTCTCCACAGTAGAAAAAATTACAATAGCAATTTATTTTTACATACACTCAGTTCCATCCCTGTTTATAAATATTTCTTTATTCACTCAACAAAGCTCCTACTATGTATCAGGGTTATGGTACTGATCATTGTCTCTACCCTTGTATGCTGATAGAGAAAGGTATTTATAAGGAAACAAATACACTGACACTATAAAAATATATAATACTGGACTGGGGAGTTAGCTCGGGCGATCTAAGTACCTGCCTGGCAAGCACAAGGACCCAAGTTCAGTCCCCAGTTCCGCATGCCATGCTGACCCCAGAACCCTGGGGCATGCTGTACCAGCCACCGAAACCGAGATGGTGGTACACACTGTAATCCCAGCGTTGGGGAGGCTGAGACAGGAGGATTACTATGAGTCTGAGCTGCCTGGCAAGACCCTATACCAAATAAATGAAAGATTTTTTTTTTTTAAATCCATGATACTTGCTGTGATTGCTTAATGAAATATATAAACACTAACATGATAGCTATTAAAATAAATTTAATGAAGTTAGTGGTATAAATATATAAAATGATTATATTTGCCATTATAGCAAACTATAGTGTTTTGCTTATTGATCAGTTTGATAGATGTGAAAGTATTTTATTAGATTTATTTTGATTGTGGGAAGCAAACAATCAGTCATGTCTTAGATGGTGCCCACTTCTGCCATTAATCAGTTGTTTGTTTTCTAAGTGATTTTGTTATTTATTCATTAATCAGTTTTGTGACCTTCACATGGTCAAGTGATCCCTCTAGCTTCCTCTTCGGTCTTGGCAATTGCGGTTAATCCATCCTCTAGGTGATTATTCTGAATGATTAAAATACTAGGTATGACTGTTACTTTTATTTGTTCTCGTTTGGTTTGGTTTGATTTGAGGGGGGCGGGTCTTGTTCTTTGAGACAGAGTCTTGCTATGTACTTCAAGCTGGCATTGAACTCATTACATAGCCCAGGCTGCTGGTCTCAAACTCAGCTATCCTCCTGCCTCAGCCTCATAAGTGCTGGAATGACAGGCGTGTGCCACCACACTTAGCTCTGACCATTGCTTTTAAAAGTAAGTTATATATATATATGTGTATTTTTTTTTTAAGTAACTTTATAAAATTGTGACAAATGTGTTATGGAGGTATCATTTCAGATCATCATCTACAACCTAAAAGTTTAGAAATAGATTCCCTTCTCCATGCCATCCTAAATACATGTCATTGTTGGAGTATGGTGAATTACATCTTGCATTTTATTTTCCTCCATGCTGTTGCCAGAGTTTATCAGACCCCAACAACTACCATGAGTTTTGCAGACTACTGGCCAGATTGAAAAGTAACTACCAACTGGGAGAATTGGTTAAGGTGGAAAACTACCCTGAAGTCATCCGATTGATAGCCAACTTTACAGTGACCAGCCTACAGGTTTGTTCTTGGTCACATTTGTCCTTCTTTTTAACATTAGGATCTCTTGCTCAGGGGTTTTGACCTTACAAAAATATTCTTCCTTCCACACACCTTGGCATCAATGACTTTAGACATCTTATACCCTGCAGCATTGTTACTTTTGGTAGCCCACAGCCTATTCATTTAAATCTCCAGAAGTGCAAGCAGGGCTGCAGGTGAAACACAGTGTAGAGTGCTTGCCTAGCACATGTCAGGCCCTGGATTCAGTCCTCAGTACCATCAAAGAGAAAAGGTGCAGGGGCTGTGATCAGAGGAACAAGTAGGAATTTAGAGAATAATATTTAGATTTAAGACAGAAAATTGCCTTATGACCGCTCTGAAAAGAAACAAAAAAATAAGATAGAACAGAGAGTTAAACAAGAAAGCCAGTACCCTGGCTTTCTTAGTCATTTGACACAGGACATTGGGTCTCAAACTGTACGGTTTAGATCAGTTTTCCGGGAACTCAGTGATGAATACAAGTGTTTGAGTAGCTCATCATTTCCAGTTCCCTGGCCCTAGGGTGGCGCTTTGGACTCTCTTGTACTGACAGGTTACCCAGCTAGTTCTCATGCATGCTGATGTCTAAAAACCACTTACATGCAACTTTCTGGCTAATATGGAACTGCCTTCTCATTAGATGCTTAATATCTGGAATATTAATAACCACTTTGTTTACACAGAACAAAGCACATGAACATTTTTTTTAAGTCTTGTGTTTGGGACTATGTCCAGAAATGAAAAATGTGCCTTCTGCTCTTGTCTTTAGCACTGGGAATTTGCCCCAAATAGTGTGCACTATCTCCTGAGCCTGTGGCAGCGGTTGGCAGCCTCTGTGCCATATGTCAAAGCCACAGAACCCCATATGCTGGAAACATATACTCCAGAGGTCACCAAAGCCTACATCACATCCCGTTTGGAATCTGTGCACATCATACTGAGGTACAGTGTGAACCACCTCCCATGTTTTCTTGCCAGTATCCTGGTATGGGTCTTGCTAGGGATCAAGCACTCAGTTGGCAAGGGGAATATTGGCATGAGCCCCCTTGGCACTAACACTGTTCATGGCTTTCCTTTCTTGTCATTAGAGTGGCAAACAAGAGCAAAACATCTGAGAGAATAGTCTTTGTCTTTAGCATCCTATTCATGTCCCCATTTTTTAAAATCACAATAGTATCTTTGAATACAGAAGCACATCCATGTAAGGTTTCTCCTTGCCAATGATTTTCCTTAAATGTCATAGGGAAAAAAGAAACATTTATAGGATATTTGTAGGTTGTAAGAATGATAATGGAGAGCTTATGATGCTTAATGTGAATTTTTTTTTTTTTTTTTTTTTTTTTTTGGTATCGGAGATGGAACTCAGTACCTTGTGCTTGATAGGCAGGTGCTTAATGCCACCGAGCTATCTCCCCAACCCTTAAGGTCGAACTCTAGGCAGGTGATCACTGATCACAGAGTTTTTGTCAACCTTGTCAATTACCTAGGCTAGAAACCTGAAGCTAAAAAAAATGTCAGACCCTTTCAAAATTAATTTTTAGGGACAGGGATACAGCTCAACAGCACAGTGCCTGCCTGACAACCATAAGGTCCTGAGTTTGATTTTCCTGGCATCAAAAAAGAAAGACTTTTATAAAATGAAGTTACCTTTGTTAAGGGATCTCTCTTACATATTTTTTCACTGGCTGTTTCTCAGGGGAATTTACTTGGATTTGAGGGCCAGAGGGTTTTAAAATTCTGATTCTTATATTTGCCCGGTCAGTGGCTTGAGTTTCTTCAAAACCTTAGTGTTCAAGAAGTTCACTGGAAAGCATTGTCCAGTTATCTGGTTTCCTGGAGTGCTCAAATAGGGAGTAATGAAGTATTTGTAGGCCCCAGGCTCAGGGAGTTGGTTCGTAGCTGTGTACACTCAAGCAAGTTTGTCTGCTTCTTTTTTTTGTAAAATACAATTAATAAAGTCCTATCCCTGGAGGTTCTTAAGAGGATTATATTAGCACAGCCTGGCGCTCTGTGTAGCATGCATGTGGTAGACACACAAGTCAGCTGCTAGTGGTGCTGCTGCTGCTGGTGTTATCATGCTGTAATGGAATGATGGAGAGTTCATCACAGGACATGGTATTAGAATGAAGGACCCAGTGCATAAGGCAAGACCTGCTGCAGAACTATAATTCCATACCTGCAGTTCTGAAATTCAAGTGTGAGATTAAATTTTCTCATCAGTCTCCCACCAAAATTCACTTTTTAAGGCCAGGGAGGTAGTTCAGCGGCATAAGTACCTGCTCAGCAAGTGCAAGGTCCTGAGTTCAATTTCTGGTACCCCCACAAAAAAATTCACTTGGTAGCAAAACTTCATATGAGCTGAAATTGGATCATTTGTGGGCTAGTTTTTTTAATTCCTACTTAGTGTGACTGTAATATTCATACATTTGGCACTTTATATTTGATAAGCCATTGAACCCATTTAGGATTTTATAATACATGAGAGAAATATCATATTGCCTTCCTTAAATCTGAAAATTTCTAAAATCCTCAACACATCTAGCCGCAGTCGTCTCACATAAGAGACTATTTACTTGTAGTCCCAGAGTTGAGGAGAGTCAGAAACAAGCAAAAGCAGAAATCCAAGTCCTCAAATTGTTGAGATGTGTGAGACCACCAGGTTCATAGTAGGCAGATGTTAAAGATAGAGATTTAGATGGTACGATTGATGCCAAGAAGCAGAGTACACCCCAGGAAGACTGATGCTGAGGCGGTGATACCTGCCTTACAACTTGCTAAATATCCTTTCCTGGGAAAAAGGGATGTGGGCCTCTATACTTATAAATGGTAGTTAAATAAGAGAGCTGCTACATCAAAGAAATCACTTAGCATAGTTCAAGACAGCTCTTTTTCTTCTTCCCTTGGGATAGAGATGGCCTGGAAGATCCCCTGGAGGATACAGGTCTGGTCCAGCAGCAGTTGGACCAGCTGTCCACCATCGGGCGTTGCGAGTATGAGAAGACCTGTGCACTCCTTGTGCAGCTGTTTGACCAGTCAGCCCAGTCCTACCAAGAGCTGCTGCAGAGTGCCAGCGCCAACCCGATGGACCTCGCAGTGCAGGAGGGTGAGTAGTGTGCAGAGAGCTCTAGGCCTGGGAAGAAATGCTGCTGGTGCCCTTTGCACCTCGCCTCCTCCCTTTCCAACATTTTCCTCAGAAGGATTTGTTCAGAATCAGGTCCATATGCACAGAAGAGTGTTCGAGAATGAATAAATGCCAGATGACTAGCAAAGTTCGGTGAAGTCAGACTTAGAGTGGATGTGTTGAACTCTAAGAGAGTTCTGCACTCAAAAAATAGTGGCAGTGTGGTGGGGCATACTTATAGTCCCAATACTATGGAGGCTGAAGCAGGAGGATTGCTATAAGATTGAGGCCAGGGGCTGGAGAGATGGCTCAGTGGTCTAAAGCACCTACTTAGAACAAGCTTAGCAAAGCATCAGGGACCACGGTTCGATCCCC